CTGGTGGCTCACAGGCATTACCAGCCTCCCAAGCTCAGGCCCTGCATTTGCCCAGCAGTACTGCTTGGGGAAGGGGACGTGGGCTCCCCGGGGGCACCTGAGTGGGAGGATGGGGACCCATGGAGGGGTCAGGCAGAGCCAGCCATATCCCCAGGATTGCATTTGTCACCTCCAGCACCACTGCAGGGAACAGGAAGCCACCGGGGTTCAGGGCTGGGGAGGGTAGAGGAGGTGAATCCGATGAGGAAACTTCTTTTTGGCAGAACTACGACCACTTGTTCAAGGTGAACGACAAGTCGGTGGGAGGCTCTTTCTACCTGCAGTCCAAGGTGAGCAAAGGGAGGAGGGGGGGGTGGCTGCCCTGGCCCCCCAGCCCTGCCCTCAGCACCTTCCCCTGCCTGCCTGGGATTCGGGAGGGCAGAGCCTGAGCGTCACCGCGGATGAGGCAGGGAGGGGAGGGGACAGCCCTGTCCCTCTGTGTCACCTCCTCCCCGTGTCCCGCAGGTGGTGAGAGCCAAGGAGCGGCTGGACGAGGAGCTCCGCATCCAGGCCAAGGACGAGAAGGAGAAGGGGTGGAAAGCGGAGACGTGACTCCTGCCACCCCCACGCCCCGTGTCCCTCACCCTTAACTTATAGGTAGCCAATAAATACCATGTCCTCCAGCACCTGGCCTGGCTGCTCTGCGCTCTGGGGAGGGAGAGGGGACTTGCCCACCTCTGCCCGCTTTCCTGGAGGGGGCTGCCCCCTGCAAAGGGCTGGGGGGGGAGGAGGAAGGAGGCGGCTGGGGAAGAAGGGGTGTCCCTGGGGCACTGAGGGCTGCCAGGGCTCAAATGGCACTGGGGGAGGCTGTGGGAGCTATTTTTGTGGTGGGTTTGGACACTCTTGGCCTGAGCGCGTGGATACCTCTGGCTCCGTACCACGGCAGCGCCGGGAGCTTTGTCCCTTCTCCCACCACGGGTCAGGGTGAGGGGCTGGGGGGGGGACACACTGAGCTGTCCCCACCCGCAGCTCATCCCGGGAGCGTGAGGACCCAGCGGGGGGTCAGGCAGAGCCCCCCCGAGATCACCCCCACCACCTCTCTGTTCCCTGGCTTTGTCCCCACCTCGGGCTGGCAGTGGCCCTGGCCACCACCGCGGACTGAAACAGGAACTTACTTCAACTTCACTTTATTTGTTTTCTTAATAAACTTCCTCTCCCCTGGAGGAATATAGTGTTATAGTCGTTAGCTTATCTCTTACTTCTGCAGTCCTTAAACGCTATGCTAACAGCGATGGAGCCCAACAGGAGGGAAAATAAAAACAACCCAGAAACTACGATAGAAAGGCACTTTCGAGACCGTTAAAATACTGATGTCCTGGAATGTGCAACAACAAACCGACGAAGGAGCGAGGAGGAGGAGGAGGAGACGTAACACCGGCCGGGGTGGGGGCCTGGTCGATGGCCCGCGGCCACGCTGGGGCTGTGGCAGCGCCGCGGCCGCCGCACCCCGGCCCCAGGAGGGTGAGGGCAGGGAGACCGGCTCCCCGTGGGGTGCGTGGGGCCTGGGGGTGGGGGGGGCTCCTTC